TATGATGATTCGCATACTTTAATATTATAGGAGTCATTAGTTTATCAAAAATTTAATAATGATGGATAGGATTAACAGGAATTAATGAATAGTCTGCTAGATATATCAATTATTATATGATATTTTCTCTGTGATAACCTGTAACTCATATAGGTTTCTAATTTTATTTTTAAAATCTACTAATTCTAAATTCTAAATAGATTTTTATTTGTCGTAACTTACAAAATTATTTGTAAACATTCCTTGCAGACAAAAGAATTGTTAAGTAAAATATAACTATGCACGTAATATGATAGAACACATAATACAATGTTATTAATATTTTAAATCCTATAAAAAGTATTCTTTACGAATGTGTTTTATTAATGTAACTATTAATATTTTTAATTTAATAATAAATGATATGGCATAATTCTTGAACACGCATCTCATAACATTTTTATTCCACATTATAAGAAAACTTTAATTTTAATTTAAAAATCTGTTTTGTTATGAGAAAAACACGATTATTGATTTGATCGATTTGAGAGATTTCCTGTCGTTTTATTCATTAATTACACGTAATTCATATCATTATCAACACGATTAATGATTTGATCGATTTGAGAGATTTCCCGTTGTTTTATTCATATATCTACCATATAAATTTGAAAAGAGTGAAACAAAAAACCTAAAAAATAATAGTTATTCATTATATTCTCTTATATACGATACTGTAATATTATACTCTAATGTTAATAAGTTACGTTTTTTCATTAACTTGCTTAAGACAATTTACTGATATAAACTCGTATAATATAGTTAATAATATTTTATTTGAATGTATTTTATAAATTATAAAAATTCTTAAATTTTTGGTAAAGGAATATATTACTTTTAAACAGTATAAAAATTCAAATAATATATTTACAGATAATTTTGCATTCTACGTAACGGCCTCTTTGCTTTAGACCAACGCGAATAGACGATTTTGCCATCTCACGGCGCTCGATCGCTAGCACAAATTTGGAGTGGGAAGAACGGCACCGTACTTTGTTATTACATACCATTTCTCGATCGAAAAGTCTGTTAACGAGCCTCAGAAGTTGTGTGTTTACATATGGCATACACATTTATTGTAATATCGCCAAGTGTTATTAGTTTTAGAAGTTTCTCGAAATAACAAGAAAATCACAAGTGCGCATATATATTTTTCATGTTTCAATAATAGTGGATAAAACATTAATTTATTGCAGCTAATTTTGTAACAAACATACAGTTGCTTAAATTTGTAAGTATACCTCATTATACAGAGTAAGTATTCAAAATTAAGTTTATTTTTATATATTTGTCTTTAATTCCATCTTTTCCATTAATATCATGGTAGAGACAGTGCTGTGTTTATTTGTCCGTTTGTACTTTCTAACAAAAAATATATTTTTAGATATCTAAGATAAAAGTAATATCATGTTTCTTAAACTATTGTTAAGTAGCAGTTTAACAATCATCGTCGCTGCGGCTTTTTTAACCGACGATCAGATAATTAAAATATCTCAAGAAAGAGAAACAGGCAATCGAATTATATATTACGGCAACATTATATATCGTTTACACATATCGAAAAAATATTCTTGTCAGCAACTGCAGTATACATACAGAAGATTATACATCCAACATCAAATATTATTATATTTACACGTAAAAAATATTAGTCTAACTGTGGTTTATTATCCAAATTATTATTCTAATGATACTGAAGAAAATGATACTGAAGAAAAGATCATTTATGCATCGATAAAATCTATGTATGATGTTGAGAAAAACATTGTCAAATATATATTTGCTAATGATCTATTGCCAGGATATTACATCATAAAATTAGTTTATAATATAACTGAAGATATGGGCCTAAAAACTTTTATAAAAAGAGATAAGCGACAATGGTAAAGTAACTGTTAAAATGTTAAATATATAGTAATTTCACGATGTTTATGATCAAGCCCTGGTAAATCATTTTTCTATTTAAAAAGTATTTTCTAAGAAAAACACATTTGTACATAGACACGTACGTATTGAAATGTTCATTCTTAATTACATGTTTCTTAAATCATTATTGGTAAAAAATTTTGCAATTTTAATATTATCATTATTATTAAACTGAATGTAAATAAGAATTAATTTAATTAAAGTAGTCAGCAATAACACATTATCCAGCATTTTATTGTCAACACTCGAACAAAATTTAATATTCTGATAGAGTTTTGAATTGCTTCCAAAATATAAGTATAATTTTGAAGGATTTATATTTTTATAAAAAACTTGCTTATATGAACAACACGATACACAAGAAAGATCAATTAAGAGCCACCGTGGATGGTAGTACGTAAATTTTTTTTAAAAAATTAATTATTCGCGAAAATTTAAACGTGCACAATTGCATATGCATATATTTTACTTAGTGCAGTCTAGTTTAAAATTCGCATTGACAAAAATCTGCGTATTTTGCTACTAAAAGCTCGAGAATTTGAAACTAACGGGCATCGAAAAACTTCTGAAAATCTCTATTTCGAGAAAAACTCAATCGTCCGCATTGTCTCTCGTTTTTCATCGCTTAAGAAACGCGTGTCATCAACGTTGACAATATTAATTTCTCTATTTAATTGTGTGGTGCCGTAAAAATAAAACTGAGTAAAAACCAAAAAAATTACGTGTCGTGGCTCGTCTTTATTCTCAATTGTGTGGTGTCCTTTTATCAAACTCTTTCGCGCGCCTCCCGCACCGACGTTTTCATTCGTGAACATTTTCTAGTTGCTTATATGAAATTTGAAATTTTGAACAAATACTTAAATTTACACTGTTTATTTTGACAATACAAACTTTAGGAAATTCATTTCTAATTTAAAAAAGTCTATAGTTTAGAAAGGAAACATTTCCAGATACATGTTTATATGAATTCTTTTTATCCTTATAGTCCATAAAAATCATTATCAAAATTTGATTATATCATGGACACATACAACTTTCATAAACACTCTGCATATAATACATACAATTAAATATATAAGCAATACTTATGCTGTTTCATGTATTTAAACATGTATTTACACACACCCATATTATTTAAAAATAATACTATTTTTGTTAATAACTAAGACATATATACATATGTGTTTCATTTAATAAACTATCACTAAAATAGGCAGTATTTTTCACTTGTAAAATTATGTACAAAATCGGTGATAATATATCAATTAAAAAAAGTTATAATCAATTTAAAAAAGTTATAATCAATTTAAAAAAATTATCTTAATACCGTTTTATATTGAAATTTATTTTAATTTTATTAAACGCATTAAAATTTTGATACTAAAATATTAATTATTAAATATTTATTTTGTACCTGTATATACTAAAAATAGACATTTTACGAAATCCTGCATAATTAAAATATATGCAACTTTTATACAATTTCATTGAAACCACTTTTGCATCAGGTTTTGCGGTGTCTTTATTATTGTTAATTCATATTTCTAAATGTGATAGGTTGGCAATGTATGTTGATCGTATTGGAATCCAACACATGATTCCGTCTTTGCCCGTCTTTGAAACTTTAAGAGTCTCCTTTCAGAAGTTCACAAGTATAAAATTATTGTCGAAGATTATGAAAACTATACAGTTCAAATGAACCGATACAAAAAATAGAAAGGAATGATAAAAACATGACACTTATTCATGCGCTTGTAAAACCTATTTATCTACTATTTCTGACTAACCGAAATAATTTATCTCGTATGCCTGGTACAAATAAAAGTGTCAGAGTTAATATGTAGTGTAGAATGCATTGCGAATTTGCACACCAATTTGCTGAACATATAACATCGTACTTGTTCGATAAATGGAAACGTTTGAATAAAACTTGGGAAATAAATCATATTGCACTTCCGGATTTTCAAAACGAAAGCATCATAAATCTGGGCCTTATTCTTTACAGGTAATTATATAATTAGAAAATATTAATATATTTTAAAGATGAAAAAGAGAATAACAATTCTTGATAACTAAAATTATTTACATATCTTTTCTCTATTTTTAAAATATTATTTGAATATATTTTAAAAAATAAGTAAAATTGTATGAAGCAATGAGAGGAGCAATATATCTAATTGTTTATTATTAGTCCAATTTATTATTGTCCAAAAAGTTATTGGGATTTTTAAGCTATAAAATTAAGAATAAAAAAGTAGCAAATTTTAGCGATTTTTTATATGAATTCAAAATGAGGCGTAAAGCAGCTGAAGACATTCAATATTAACGATGCATTTGGTTCAGGAACCGCTAATGAACGTACAATGCAATGATAGTTTCCGTAAATTTCAGTGGACATGAGAGCCTTGAAGTTGAAAAGTTCTAGACGACTGCGATTATTGACGACGACCACTTGAATGTGTTACTTGAAATAGAGTCAGGCACATCGATTTGAGATTCGAGAACTAGCGGAAAAACTTGGCGTAAGCAAGTCAGCTGTTTTTGATTATCTAAAACTAATTGGAAAAACAAAAAAGCTCGACAAATGGATGCCGCATCAATTGAGCGAAAATCAAAAGAATCGTCACTTTGAGGTGTGTTCTGCATTGATTTTGCGCAAACAAAATAATCCGTTTCTCGATCGCATTGTAACGTGCGATGAAAAATGGATCTTGTACGATAATAGTCGACGTTTTGCACAATGGTTGGACCATGAATGATGAAGCGCCAAAACACTCTCCGAAACCAAAATTGTATTAAAGAAGATTATACTGACTATTTGGTAGTCGTCAGTCGATATAATTCACTACAACTTTTTAAATTCGGAGTTATTACGGCAGAGAGGTACTGTCAAGAAATCCATCAGGAACTGACACGTTCGGTGTTGGTCAACAGAAAAGTTCCAATTGTTCTACACGATAATGATCGACTATACGCCGACGCTACATTAATCAATTGAGCTATAAAACTCCATGAAACTCTGTCTCACCCATCTTATTCGCCGGTCTTCTCCAATTGACTATCACTTCTTTAAACATTTCGACAATTTCTTGCAGGGGAAAACCTTTAACAATAAAGCTACTGTCAGAAACGCCTTTCAAGAATTTGTCGTTTCTCGAAATCTAAATTTTATGCTACAAGAATAAATAAATATTGTTTCTCGTTGGCAAAAATATTTAAATTTCAATGGTTCTCTTTTCATTTGCTAAAGTTCACTTGCTAAAATGTACGTATTTAAACTTAGAGGTTAAAAATCACAATAACTTTCTGGACAATCTATCTTCAATGTACATCAACTTATAGAATAATATTAGAATGAAGAATAATATTAAAATATATATATTTTATAATCTTAAAATTACAAATTAAAATATAAAATTGCAAATTAATTAATTATATTAAGGTATAAGAATAGGTAAAAGTATTATATTAAGGTTTTCACTTTTATCGATCAAAATTTTTTGAAAAGTTATATATATATATATATATATATATATAATATATATATAGTGCGATACTCGCTTCCAATATATTTCATTACTTCGTAATGAGCATTAGAAATAAAGGATTAATACTAAATAATTAATATGTTAATTTTATAGAATCATTTAATTATAAATTTGGAAATAATCATTATATAAAACATTTTTTGTAATTTTCAGAGAAGCAGATATTATCTACAATGACAATGTAGATTCTGTTGCGACTAAAATCAAAGTTGCCCGTTTCATAGCCCATAAAATAATACAGGAATGTTTTTATTATGAAAATCCACTTTGGCCGTTATCGTCTTCGTTAAATGAGGCTATTGTCGCATTTTTTGGATTATATGTCATCAATCAGGTTATTTTAAGCATTCTTTAGCGCAAACTTTATTCACTAGCAAACAATATTATATATATATATATATATATATATATATATATATATATATATACATAGATATGTATATACATATAGATATATACATAACAATATGATATCTTGTCCGCAGATAAAAAAATACGTGTCTAGTATTTTGCATAGTTTTACAAGTGTACAAAATTTCATTAGAATCCGTGAGTGATAATTGGGTACCTTTCCTTGTCAGTGCAGTGATTTTGACAATATATGTCAAGGTCAAGCTATTTGGGGCTGTGTAAAGTTAAATGTTTACCATTATAGCGAGCAATTTTTTTTTATAAATCACAATATTAGACAAAGATTCCATATTTACAAAGAAAAATGAGTTTTTTAAAAATGCTAATTTTCAAGTAAATGCAACATACATAGATAATTTAAAATATTTTTACATTTTTATGTTTCTTTTATTTTGTGTATGTGTATCAAAGTCACTATATTACATTTGTCCGACTTTAAAATATTGTATATAAAAAAAGAAAAATTATCATTCAGATTCCACATAATGTATACATGTAGAAATTGTGTAATAAGATAATTTTGCTATATAATATAGTATATTTTAATAATTCTAAATATATTAATTTTAAAGTTATATGTTGAGTAATTACTTTTGTTATTAAATTAATACTTTATGTTTTTAAATTATTTATTCTATATTTTAAGAGTATAAGAGTATAAGAGTATAAGAGATATTTTTACATACACGTAGAAAGTAACAGTTCTAATGCATATTGCTATTGTGTGTTAAATCTAATATTAATTATAATAAGTAAATACATTTAAACTATTTTTATAGGCTCTCCCAAGTACCCGGATGATGGACTTGTTTGTGGTACAAATTCAACAAGAATCCCTTCATTTCGATACTGAATATAATACATCACTTTATAATACATCATTCAACATTTCTTTTGAACATTACAGTTACATTAAAGGTATGATAATATAAATAAAAATTGATTATGAGTAAATTTTTGAAAATAAATGCTTATAAAACAAGTAGAATAATTGATAAAAATTATAATTTTATATACATGGTGTCAGAAAAAGCAGTGATTGGGGGGGAAGAGCTTTCGCCGCGCGTCTGCACTCCCCTCTCCAATCATTGTTTCGCCGCGCACCGCTATTATGTTACAGTGAAACCGCCTCCACCGCCAAGCACTTCTAGTCATGCGCATTGGCCGATCTTCTTTAATTTTTAGTTAATTATTGCGAATATCGCAAAATAGTATAGTATCTTCCTTCTTAATTTGAGCCAATTTATTTTCACACTTCTGCAGAAATGTTTCTGACACCCTGTATAATCTCTTCATTATATACATGCACACTTATATACATACATAATAAAGCTGTAATATATAAAATTATATATAAAATATATTATGTATACAAGATGTTTCTTTTTAAATGATACAGTCGATTATCTCGCGAACTAATGATTATACTGAAAAATTTTTCGCACGAAAGTTGCGTAGCTTGAAGGGGTACACATGATGAAAATATAGACTTTACCTTGTTAAAGTCAGGTCAAGATCATTAATACTTTTTTACATGAAAATCTCTATTTTTTTATTACTTATTCTTATAGATTACTTCGAGAGCTTTTCAAAACGCTATAATAAAGTATTTTTTCATTGAGTACTTTTCAAGTTATATCTTAATTTTACATAAACTATAAAATATCTAATAAAATATTTATTTTTTGATTGTCTTATCTTAATACTTGCAAATTAATGTGTTTTAATATCAGTTTGCTTAAGAAAAGTATTAAAATTGTCAACTTTAACTTTAACTTATATCTTTTAAACCAATGTCGCCTCTCGTTTACTCTTTTGCGCGGAATTACTCAGGAAATCTTCCTCTATGACATATTCAAATAATGTTAAAATCGGTGATGTGTAACGTTTTATGCACTTTTATTATAATTATTAATTATTATTTACTATAACTTTATCATATTCTTATTCATATTCTGATGTAAATTATAGTTTACAGTGTATTGCGTATATTACAAGAAATGATTACTGAAGAGATATTTTGGCAGAGTATCCGTATATATGTAAAGGACAAGTAAGTAATACACCATACTACTATAATTACTATTTTTATTTAAATTAAATTTATTTATTTTATTTTATTTAAACTTACATTATTTCTTTCATACTTTATTATCTTTATTATTACCATTTACAATTCTTTTTACCTTCAATGTTATTAAATATTCAAGATATATTTTCAACTTACATATACACTTATTTTTTAAAAGTAATCAAGTTTGGCCATTCGTTTTAAATTATAATTTAAACTGTAGCATCAAATTCATATAAAAACTGTAATATTTGCTTATAATACCTTTCGTTAACACATCAATAAATTTTGAATAAATTTTATAACTTTAGCAATTCAACTTTTAACTATTTTGGTGAAATTATGAAGAACCTTTCGTACATTCAAATATCTACAGTCGATTTATATATTATAAGGCAGCTAATTAACTCTACAATACAACAAAATTATTATTCTGTAGTGAACGTAGTACGAGATTATAATTATCCTATAAAAATGATAAATATAAATTTAAATGAGATGATGATGAGGGATGATTACACATCGTATGATACGGAATTGGGTGACTTTATAGTATTTAATCTAAATCAAACTGGTAAGTTTGCAATAAATTTATTACATTTTATAGTGTTTATCATACGTACACATTGAAGAGAAAGATTTACATTACTAAAAATATTATTCATTATATTATGTATTATATATACACTACATTTATTATACATTATATATACATACATACGTACAATTATTAGAAATATTCAATTTTCATGCAAAATGATTCTATATCTAATATAATATACAAATTGCATTTCCATTTATGCTCACTTTATGATACATTTTTGATTTCTATTAATATACAAAAGTATAAGTACAAAAGTATAAACAGATACTTGTACTGATAAACCCTTTGAAAGAATTATATATATATATGTATATAATTTATTTATTTTACAGCATATTATCGAGTCAATTACGATATCGAAAACTGGAGGAGAATTGCAAGTTATCTAAATTCTACAAATTATAAGAAAATACATGTTTTGAATCGTGCCCAAATTATCGACGACGCTTTCCACTTAATGATAACAAACCAACTTAATTCCACTGTATTCTGGAATATTACAAAATATCTATCACAAGAAACAGACTACGTGGCATGATATCCTATGTTCAAAGCTTTAGAATATCTGTCCAATATCTTTCTATTTCATGAAAAAATATATTTTGATATCAAGGTAATAACACATATTATAAACAATGTCAATAGTGATGTCTTTAATATACTAAAAACATATTGCACATATTAATATTGTGTGTATTTATAACAATAATTATTAAGTGTTTTCCAAAAAGATACATATAATAAAATATATGTAGCTAGAAAAAATTTGATTAGATATTTTAAATATACATATTTTGGATGAAAGATAAGTATATTTGTAAATTAACATTTGAATAGTGTATGTACTAATAATATAAGAAGTTGGAGAGGAAAAAGGAGAAAAATTTGAAAATTGTTATCATTTTTAATCACAGCATAATATTTATAATGACGATTAAAATATCATTAATTTTAAGATAAAAAATTAGTAGGAAACATATATATTAATTGTCTGTGTGTTTAATACACAATAGAGTTAATAAATTATTAAATTATATTATACAATAGATATAATGTCTACATTTATGTCTACATGTCTACAATATATGCATGCATGCACTTCTGTATGTTTATATTATATGAACATGTGTTAAGCATGTGTAAATATGCACGCAAGAAAAATTCAAATTTGTGTATAAATACATATACAGGGTGTCCCATTTTAATGCCCCACCCCAAATAACTTTCTTATTTTTAATTTTAGAAAAAGATGTTTCAGACAAAAGTTGTATGGTTTCGAGGGGGACATAAGATGGTACCATTAATTTGATCTTGAAGAGTCACATGAAGGTTACGTGAAGATCATTTTCAATTTCTTAAATGGAACACCCTATATATTTTTGCATATTCTTGTAGCTTATCTCGAGAGCTTTCCAAAACACTATAAATAAACATTTTTTCATCAAGTACGTTTCGAGTAATGAGGCTTGAAATCATTTCTTAATTTTACATAAACCATAAAATATCTTGTAAAATATTCATTTTTTGATTATCTTACCTTAATACTTTTATGTACAAAATAATGAGAGAAATCAATTGGTGTAAAGAAAACATACAGTTGTTTTTAAGAAAAAATATGGAATTGTTAATTGCAAATTACATATTTTTTTCTTAAAAACAACTGTATGTTTTCTTTGCACCAATGGATTTCTCTCATTATTTTGTACATAAAAGTATTAAGGTAAGATAATCAAAAAATGAATATTTTACAAGATATTTTATGGTTTATGTAAAATTAAGAAATGATTTCAAGCCTCATTACTCGAAACGTACTTGATGAAAAAATGTTTATTTATAGTGTTTTGGAAAGCTCTCGAGATAAGCTACAAGAATATGCAAAAATATATAGGGTGTTCCATTTAAGAAATTGAAAATGATCTTCACGTAACCTTCATGTGACTCTTCAAGATCAAATTAATGGTACCATCTTATGTCCCCCTCGAAACCATACAACTTTTGTCTGAAACATCTTTTTCTAAAATTAAAAATAAGAAAGTTATTTGAGGTGGGGCATTAAAATGGGACACCCTGTATATAAGTATAGCTATATAAGATAGATATCTTTATAAAAAGACTTCAGAACTGTTTACAAAGACAGAATGTTCTGAATATATAAACCTTCTTAATATGTAAAATACAATTGCGCAAGATATCTTTCTATATAGCAAAATATAATGCAAGAATCGAAAAATATAAAATTTATATCAAATAACAATATAAAGACATATAAATACATTTATATATATATAATAATAATAATTGCGTTTATTAACATTTGAGTTATATACATTTTATATACACTTGTTCCATAAGTATTTGTGTTGGTGCGTGCGCCACATAAGGTTCCTTGTACAACATTTGTTTCCCCATTCAGCCTCTCCTCATCCTCTCTCCCACCTGATATGTAAATTCTTCCTCCTCTCTGTTCCTCCTCCTTGCTATACTCAACATTCTTGTCAAAGCTCGTGCCCCATTTATCTGTTGCCTCCAACTTTCATGTTTTTCTCCAGTCATATCGCATGTTTCGAAAACATGTTGAAGCGTCTCTTCTTCTTTTCCGCATAGTCTGCACCTTCTATTCTCCTCCGCTTCCCAATACTTGTTTGCCCTCGTTTCAGTGCCTAATCTAAATCTTGCTTCCATTTCCAAAGCTCCTTTCCGTTTATTTTCTTTACTTAGATATTCTGGTTTTTCCATGGCTTCTGGTACTAAGTTTTTATATTCCTTCGCAAATTTTGATCTTTCTAGCTTCTCACTCCATATCTGTCTTTCCATACATTCACTAATGTCTTTCAACCTAATCCAAATTCCACTTCCATTTTTCATTTCAAGATCATAATAATCTATCGACCATCCTTTTTCTTCAAGGTATTTTTTCCTTGCGGTTTTCCATCTTTCACATGTTTCTCTTTTCCTGTTTATTCTCATTTCTGTGCTAAATTTATTCTTTACTCTAATGCACTCTTTAATCAGTTCATTTCCTTCGCTTTTCATTATTTTTTCCTCGTATTTTACCGCTCTTATTCCTGATTTGGTTGCAATTTTATTTCTTTTTGTTTCCAAGTGAAGCATGTGGCTAGGTGTCGTTCTGTCCAGTTTTAGTGTCCATTTTATATATTTATCTTGTAAATCTTCAATTTCCTTATACTCTTTCCAGCCCCATATCTCCACGCCATACATCATAATACTCTCCACCAAGACTTCAAACAAGTACATTCTTTTTTTCCAGTTGTCCTTGAAGTTTCTTTCTCCTATACTCCATACTTTTCCTAGAACGGCCATTGCTTTCTTCCTTATATTCTTTATATGTGCTTCATTTCCGTTGTTTCTTTGTAAAGTGTATCCTAGATAGTTGAATTCCTTCACCTCCTCGATATCTTTTCCTTCCCATGTGAATGTTATGTTTCTCTTCCTTCCTCCTGCTTTTCTTCCTCTCATGATTTTAGATTTATCTATGTTCAGTTCCAATCCTCTGTCCTGTATGTATTTCCTGAATTTTTTAATCATTTCTTTTATTCCTCCTTCGTTGTTTGCTAGCAACACCACGTCATCCGCATACGAGACTGTCCAAACCTTCTTCCTTCCTATCACTATTCCTCCTAACTGTACACTTCTCATAGTGCTTTCCAAATCTGCAAAAGCTAAGTTAAACAGTGCTGTACTGAGCGGACATCCCTGCCTCACTCCTTTTTCCGTGTTTATTTCTTCTGATAATTTTTCATCTATCCTTATTTTAAAAGCCGTTCCGTTATATATCTCCTTTATTCTATCTCTCAATTTACTACTGATTTCATTTTTCTCCATTAGTTCCCATAATTTTTCTCTTCTTATTTTATCAAAAGCTCCTTTCATATCTGCGAAGAATAGGTAGATTTCTCCCTTTTCTTTCTTCGTTTCCTCTTCCATGGCCGTCTTCACAATATATATAGCTTCTAAAGTTCCTTTTCCTATTCTATATCCAGTTTGTGTCTCTTCCATTATTTCCCTTTCTTCCATTTCCTTCTCCAACCTCTTCCTGATTATTTCTGCATAGATTTTATATCCTGTGTCCATTAGCGTTATTCCTCTATAGTTCTTTACGTCATGTATGTCTCCTTTTTTATGTATGGGTGTTACTATGCCTATTTTCCATTCTTCTGGTAGTTTCTGCTCTCCGTTCCAAATCTTGTTTATTATCTTGTGAAATTCTTCTACTATCTCCTCCTCCCTATATAGCCATGCTTCATTTGGTATTTTGTCCTCTCCTGCTGCTTTCTTTTTCTTCAACCTTTTGATCACATCCCTCACTTCCTTTAAACTTATTTCATTTTCTTGATTTGCTATCCTGTCTATTTCTACAACTT